CTTGAGCCCTAATACTCGTATGTATGGTGATTTCCCGTTGTTGAATCACGTAATTAGTGAAAATGAGGGGTTAGGGCTTGGGATTTTGGAGAGTTTAATTTAAGGATTTGAGGGACCAAACGATGTCGGATTTTGATAAATTATGTATGTATGGACTCGTGAGTGGATGAGCTTCCTAGTTTTGTAATTTTTGTCAGATTTTGAGATGTGGGCCAAGGGGCCGGGTTGAGCCACTTTTGGGTTTTGGGCTAATTTGATAGTTTTTCTTGTGGAATTCATTCCATTAGTGTATATTGATAGTATTGTACTGATTGTGAATAGATTCGGAGCATTTGGAGGCCGAGTCGAGAGGCAAGAGCATTGCGGGGTAGAGATTTGACCGGTTTGAGGTAAGTAACGATTGTAAATCTAGTCCTGAGGGTATCAAACCCTAGATTTTTGTATCACTCTACTATTTTGAGGTGGCACACATGCTAGGTGATGGGAGTGCACTGTTGGGGATTGTGACTTGATTCGTCCCGTAGAAACTGTAAAGTTGCATATTTTGTTGAAATTATATGATACTTATATGTTTTAGAAAGAGTTTCTGTAAATTGGGCTGAATGCCATGTTTGGGCCTTGTGACAGTGCTGTTTGAACCCGTACGGGCCTTTTCTTACTATCCTCTTATTGTTTTTGATTGGAAAATCTATACCCAGTCATAGTTATACTTGTTTACTGGATAACTCAGTTTTATGACTTTATTTTGATGCATATAAATGTTGTTTTGGGCCGAATGCCCTGTTTTTACTGAAATGCCCAAGTGGCTTGAGAGGTTTATGGTTGAGTGAGGCTGAGGGCCTTATTTGTGAGGATATTTACGGGATCGAGTTGCACGCCGAAGCATGTTTGATATAGGTCGAGGGCCTGAGTGATTTACGCCATGATTTAGCTTGATATAGCGCTTGGGCTGAAGGAGCCCCTCCGGAGTCTGTACACCTCCTAATGAGCGTAGGTACCTACTTAGTGCCGAGTGCTGAGTGACTGTGTGGCATGAGTGATTGTGAGGTATGCCCGAGTGGCAAGAGTGATTGTAAGGTATGCCCGAGTGGCACGAGTGACTGTGAGGTTTGCTAGAGGGGCTGTATAAGAGTGATGCTTTGCCCGAGGGGCTGTTTATGATTTCATCATTTTTGCTCATCTGTGCATTTTCCTCTATTTGAAAAATATTGAAAAATATCTTTAAACAATTTTCACTAGAACTGGGTTTAAATGAGAGAGTTTGATTCAAATCCTGATTTTTAAAGCATGTGGTATTTTACTAAGATTTCATGATATGATCGTTATATGCTTTATTGCTCGTCACTACTACTCAGTCTTTATTTATTGTTGTTACTTACTGAGATGGCGTACTCACGTTACTCCATGCACCTTGTGTACAGATCCAGGTGTAGATTGACACGGCAACCGTTATTGATTATTCTGGTTGCAGATCTTTCTCGGGGATAGCAAGGTAGCTGCCTGGCGATAACAGCTCTGCTCTTCTCCCTCTTATCTTCCTTTAGTTGCATTTAGCTATTTTTCAGGCTGAGTTAGCCTTGATATTGTTAGACAGATTGTAGTAGATGCTCATGACTAGTGACACCCCGATGTCGGGCTTTTCTTTTCCACACTTTTGTTTGATTTGAACGCCTTTACGAAGGTTTTATGTTAAATAGCCTTGAAAATTTATCTTCAAAATGAAAATATCATTTTGTTTTGGAATGAGTCGGCTTGCCTAGTACCACGATAGGCGCCATCACGACAGGTTAGGTATTTGGGTCGTGACAGATTGGTATAAGAGCCTAGGTTACATAGGTCTCACGAGTCATGAGCGGGTTTAGTAGAGTCTTACGGATCGGTACGGAGACGTCTGTACTTATCTTCGGGAGGCTGCAGAACCTTTAGGAAGATTCCAGATTCTTGAATTCTTGTCGTGCGAATCTGTTGATACTAGTAACTAAATATCTGTTGTTTCATTCTCTCACAGATGGTGAGGACTCATACTACCGGTTAGGAGGGCCAGCCACCAGTACCACCAACCAGGGCTGTGAGAGGCCGAGGCCGTGGTAGGGGAAGATGTGCAGCCCGTACAACAGCTGGAGCAGTACCCGCAGATCCACTAGTTGTCCCAGTTCAGGACAAGGTTCCAGTTGTTGATGCACCAGCTCAGGCACCACGTGTGCCTATTGTGATGCCAGGTCTTTAAGAGGACCTAACTCAGATTTTGACTGCGTGTACCGGCCTTGCTCAGGAGGTCTCTATCTAGACTGCCCCAGCCACTTCTCAGGCCAGGGGAGGCACTTAGACTCCCGTTGCTCGCACACCCGAGCAGGTTGTTCATGGACTTCAGACACCGGGGACACCACCAGCCCAACCGGTTGCAGCTGCACAAGATTATATGGTTCCTGCTATGCCTGAGGATGATTATCGTAGGTTGGAGAGGTTTGGGAGACTCCAGCCACCACCTTTCAGTGGCATAGAGAGAGAGGATGCACATGATTTCTTGGATAAAAGTCAGAGGATACTCCGTACTGCTGGTATTCTGGAGACTTGTGGGGTCTCATTCACTACCTTTCAGTTTTCTGGGGCTGCACTCAGATGGTGGGAGACTTATGAGAGGCGTAGGCCTGTTGGCGCATCACCCCTTACTTGGCAGCAGTTCTCCGTGGACTTTTTGGAGAAGTGCGTGCCTCGATCCCGTAGAGAGGAGCTGCGCAGACAGTTTGAGCGGCTTCGCCAGGGTGATATGTTTGTGACGCAGTATGAGATGCGGTTCTCCGAGTTGGCCCGTCATGCGAAATGGTTAGTTCCCACTGATAGGGAGAGGATCACGAGGTTTATTGATGGTATCACGTTTCAGATACAGTTGCTTATGACCAGAGAGAGAGTGTCTGGTGTTACCTTTGATGAGGTTGTCTACATTGCTCGATAGATTGAGATGGTTCGCGGTCAGGAGAGAGTCGAGAGGGAGGTCAAGAGGCATTGTGGACAAGGTGGATTCAACGGTGCTCATTTTGGGGGTCAGTTTCAGCACGATAGAGGTCGTCATTTCAGACAGGCTCAGTCAGCTCGGCCATTTCACCGTGGTGCATCATCTGGCCATGGTTTTCATAGTTCTCATCAGGGCCACTCATCACTTAGTGCCCTTCTAGCTCAGAGTTCGTCCCGTGCTCCACTAGTTCAGGGCTCTTCTATGCTAGGTTCTTCTACTGGTTATCCCGATGCTCGGGGCTCCCTACAGTTCCCGCCACCAGCACCAGGGAGTTGTTTTGAGTGTGGGGAGTTTGGGAATATGTGGAGGGAGTGTCCTCATCGTCATGGAGGTCTATCTCAGCAAAGGAGTTAGCCTTCAACATCAGCACCAGTTATTTCATCACCCGCCCAGTCAACTTGGGGTGGAGGTCAGTCAGCTAGGGGTTGCCTTTGAGGGTGGCTAGACCCGTTTCTATGCCCTCCCTGCAAGACCAGATGCTATTGCTTCAAATGCTGTGATCACAAGTATTGTCTTAGTTTGTCACAGAGATGCCTTAGTATTATTTGACCCTGGTTCCACGTATTCATATGTTTCCTCATATTTCGTCCATTTTCTGGATTTGCCTCGTGAGTCTTTAGTTTCATATGTTCATGTATCTACTCATGTGGGCGATACTATTGTTGTGGACCGCATATATTGGTCTTGTGTGGTGATTATTGGGGGTCTAGAGACCAAATTGGACCTTCTACTGCTCAGTATGATTGACTTTGATGGGATATTGGGTATGGAGTGGTTATCTCTATGTCAAGTTGTTCTAGATTGTCACGCTAAGACGGTGACATTGGCTATGTCGAGAATTCCGAGGGTTGAGTGGAACGGTTTTGTAGATTATGTACCAAGTAGGATGATTTCATATTTGAAGGCTCAGTGTATGGTTGAGAAGGGTTTCCTATCTTATTTGGCTTTTGTGAGGGATGTTAGTGCAGAGACTCCTATTATTGATTCTGTTCCGGTGGTACGTGATTTCCCGGATGTGTTTCCTGCAAACCTATTGGGCATACCGCCTGACACGGATATTGACTTCGGTATTGATTTGGTGCGAGGATATTTTCCAAGATTGATTTGGAGCGAGGGTGTTTTCCAAGATTGATTTGGAGCGAGGGTGTTTTCCAAGATTGATTTGAGGTCCGGTTATCACCACCTAAAGATTTGGGATTCAGATATTCTTAAGACAGCTTTCAGGACCCGATATGGCCATTATGAGTTCTTAGTGATGTCTTTTGGCCTGACCAATGCCCCAACAACGTTCATGCATTTGATGAATAGTGTATTCCATCCCTATTTGGACTCATTCGTTGTTGTATTCATTGACGACATCCTGGTGTACTCTCGTAGCCAGGAGGAGCATGCTGAGCATTTGAGGATTGTATTACAGAGATTGAGGGAGGAGAAACTTTATGCAAAGTTCTCCAAGTGTGAGTTTTGGCTCAGTGCAGTAGCATTCTTGGGACACGTGGTATGCAGTGAGGGTATTCAGGTGGACCCAAGGAAGATAGAGTTGGTGCAGAGTTGGCCCAGACCGTCCTCAGCCACAGAGATTAGGAGTTTTCTTGGTTTTGCAGGTTACTACCGTCGCTTTGTGGAAGGAGTTTCATCTATTGCTTCGCCCTTGACTAGATTGACCCAAAACGATGCTCCATTATGTAATACCCTTATCTATACTCCCCCTCAAGCTAGGTAGTGCAAAAATATTATTAACTCTTAGCTTGGAACTGAGATATTCATGTTGAACTTTGTTGAGCCCTTTAGTTAAGATGTCTGCTGGTTGTTCTCTGGTTGAAATGTACTTGGTTGTGATTAGTCATTGTAATATCTTTTCTCGAATGAAGTGACAATCAATTTCGATGTGTTTGGTTCTCTCATGCTATACTGGATTGGCTGCAATTTGCATAGCAGCTTTACTATCACTGTAAATATCAACAGGTAGGTTGATATGAAAATCAACTTATTTTAGTAAGCCAATCATCCAAATTAACTCTGCAACTGTGGCAACAATGCTTCTATATTCAGTTTCTGCTGAGCTTCTTGAAATAGTTGTTTGCTTCTTATATTTCCAGGAAACTAAAGAATCCCCAAGTTTAATCATATAACCTATGACAAATTTTCTTGTATGTGGGCAGGAAGCCCAATCAACATCACAAAATCCCATAACTGTATTGTTAATATTACTAGATAGTTGAACACCTTGACCGGGCTGTTTCTTCAGATATCTTACAATTCTAAGTGCAGCTTCATGTGAGACCTTTTAGGATTCTGAAGAAATTGACTTAGAGTTTGAACACTAAAAACTATATCAGGTCGAGTCATGGTAATATACAAAAACTTACCTATCAACCTTTGATATGGAGTATGATCCTCCATTACTTTGTCATAAGTGATTGTGTCTGATTTAGTAGTCTTGACACAATCATCATATTCCTTTGTTGTGAGCTTTACATTGTAATCTAGAGGTGTAATAGCAGGTTTGGCAGCCCCCGGTCCAGTTTCAGAAATAAGTTCTAGTGCATACTTCCTTTGGTGCATTAAGATACCTTGCTTGGACCTGGCAAATTCAATCCCTAAGAAATACTTTAGCTCACCAAAGTCTTTCATTTTGAAGGCCTTATGCAGGACAATTTTGGTGTTTTGTATCAAGCTAAGACTGTCTCTAGTGATAAGAATGTCATCAACATATACTAACACTATAAGGATTTAACAAGTCGACAAACTGATTTATTCTCCCCCTGACTGGTAAATCTTTGTGGCATTTGCAAATAAATTTCATCATAGAGATCACCTTGTAGAAAGGCATTATATACATTCATTTGATGTATATGCCACTGTTTTTGGACAACAATAACAAGTTTTATTCTGACTGTCTTTATTTTAACTACCAGACTGAATGTTTCTTGATAATCAATGCCTTCTTGTTGGCTAAACCCCTTTGCTACTAATCTGGCTTTGAATCTTTCAATTCCCCCTGAAGATTTATACTTAATCTTATAGATCCATTTGCATCCTATTGGATGTTTGCCTTCTTGTAGATTGATTATGGCCCATGTGTGATTGTCTTGCAATGCTTTAATTTTAGCTTTCATTGTTTCTATCCACCGAGGATCCTTGCAAGCATGTGAGTAGTTACTAGTTAATTGAAGAGATAGATGTAGTATAAGCTTGATATTTAGGTGATATCATATGTAAGATACTTAGATAATCCATAGGGTGTGTCTTGATGAATATTCAGAGAGACAAACTCTCTCAGCCAAAGAGTTGGCCTTTTTTCCCTTTATGACTTTCTGAGCTCATCTTAATTTGTCGAGGCTATAGTGACAGGAGATGGTTGAACAGAGGATGACATAGTTGGTGGTTGAGGTTCACTGCTTTGATCCAGCTGATTTACCTCACCTTGTTGATCCATGAGTTATATTTCTGGATTAAATTCAGCTGGTTGAACAAAGGATTCAGGAGAAGCAGCATCATGATTCTCAGTAGTTTCAGAAATTCTCTGATTTAGAGTTGTAGATGATTGACCACTTGTCTCATAGAACAATTTGTGTAAACTGTTGTTTTGAGTGAATATAGTGGTAGATGTGCTTTGATTTTGTTTGAATGGAAATATGTCTTCCCTAAAACTGACATCTCTACGTACCAGAAATGATATATTTTCTAGATCATATAGTATGTATCCCTTTTGTTCAGCTAAATACCCCATATGTACTGTCATTTTTTATCGAGGTATCATTTTGTCATGTTCCTGAACTATCTTTGCATAGGCTAGACATCCCAGTACTCTCAGGTGAGTTAGGATAGACTTCTTGTCAAACAGCCTCTCATAAGGTGTTTGATTATTTATGACTATGCTTGGCAGCCTGTTGATTAGGTAAACTGCAACTAATACACAATACCCCAAAAATTTGATTGGTATATTTTCTTGAAATCTTATTGCCCTTGTGACTTCCAGAATATGTCTGTGTTTCCTCTCAGCATACTTCATTTTGCTGAGGTGTATAAGCACATGACTTTTGATGAATAATGCCTAGATTGTTGAACACGATCTGACACACTGAATGCCATTATCTGTTCTGATTACTTTGATTAACTTATCAAACTGATTTCTGACTAATGTAATGAATTTTTGTAATACAGTACTTGCATCAGACTTTAATTTCAGTAGAAATATCCAAGTGAATTTAGTGTATTCATCCACTACTGATAAGAAGTATTTGTTTTCATCAGTTGTAGGTACTTTGTAAGGCCCCCATAGATCAACATGTACTAACGCAAAACAAACAGTTGTTTTTGTATTACTGATTGGAATGGAAGTCTTGTTTGTTTAGCATATGGACATACAATACATCTATCTACTCTTTCAGCTATTATTTCAGTCTTCTCATGTAGTAATTTTTTAAGTACTGAAGCTGATACATGTCCAAATCTTTTATGCCATAGATCTATGATCACTGATGGTTCTTTTGCTGCTAATAGAACTTCATCATTAGATCCAGCTGGTTGAAAATTTCCATTTAGAATGTATAGTCCACTATCTTCTCTACCAATCGCTCTCACCTGCCCATTGAAGAGATCTTGAAAAATACAAAAATCAGGAAAAAAAGAACTGAGCACTTTAGTTGTTTGGTGACCTTAGATACAGAAAGTAAGTTGTACTTGAAGTGTGGAATATGAAACACATTTGTTACTGTGATTCTATTAGTAATATTACTAGAACCAATGTGAGCCACATGTGTTATATCTCCATTAGGTAAGAACACCCTCTTTGGATATTCTGGTTGCACAATGGAAGCTCGGTTCAACAGACTTAAATCACCTACCATATGATTGGTAGCACCAGTGTCAATTATCCACTCTTATGGACTAGTGGATGATAAAAAAGCAATGCTAATACCTGTTGCAGTAGAAGTCTCAAACTAACACCTGAAGACTTATTCAATATTTGCAGGATTTGCTTATGCTGTTCCTTTGAAAAAATACAGTTGGTTATTGGAGGCAACCCTTGTAAATTTAGCTGAGTAGTAGGCCCTTGTCCCATATTGTAATTTACTTTTCCTGTGTTTGTATTTGCATACATTCGCACTTGACTAACTGAATTTCCTAATGCTTGGAACTGATTTTCCTGGGAGTTTGCATCAGTTGAACCATTACCACTTGTATTCCTGACAATTGTATTGTTCTCAATTATCACATTGTAGGCTGCATTTCCAACTCCCCTTTTCTTCCTATACTTGAATTCAGGAGGATACCCCATAATTTTATAGCAATTTTCATTGCTATATCCTTTCATTTTGCAAAAATCACACTCGATATTGTAGTTTTTCTTGTACTTCTGATTCCCTCCATGTCCAGTTCTGGTATACATAGTGTCACGACCCGAAATTCTCACCTTCGGGACCGTGATGCCGCCTAATATTTTACTTGCTAGGCAAGCCAACGTTAGAATATAATTAGCTATTTTAACAAAAAAATTTAAATTAATTAATAACAAGAAAATAAATGCAAAAATAAAGTCTGAAATATAGTGAATAATCCATAATAATCGCGATATCTAAGTTCCATCCTAGAACTGGAGTCACAACTGCACGAGCTTCTAGAATAATACAAATAAAGGTCTGAATAAAATTCAAGCTGTTTGAAATATAATATATAGCTGAGATAATATAGAAGGAGACTTCAGAACTGCGAACGCTGTACAGTTATACCTCAAGTCTCCACTGGTAACTGTATCCGAGCAATTCTACAGTAAGCCGTTGGGACCAACTCCGAAATCTGCAAAAGAAGTACAGAGTATAGTATCAGTACAACCGACCCCATGTACTTGTAAGTGTCGAGCCTAACCTCGACGAAATAGTGACGAGGCTATGACAAGACACGTACGTAAACCACATGTACAAGTATATACAAATACAAAGTAACAATAATACAATCAATAACCATTTATAAATTGGGAGGAAACACGCAAAAGGGGAATGATATAATAATTTCAGCAAGAGTAGTATCACTTAGTAGCCATTTAATTTATCAACAATAAAATAAGCAACTAATAATATAAAAATGGCACGGAACCACCCTTTGTGCTTTTACCTCATCGACCGCAAACATTTCCTTTGCAACATGCTGTTCCCCATATACTGATTTTACACCGTCCGACATCGAGAATTTCATCTCTTGGTGGAGGGTCGAAGGGACTGCCGTCATATTGTGGATCCAAGGTCTTCCGAGCAGGCCATTGTATCTCATGTCATCCTCGATTAGGTGGTACTTGGTGTCTTGAATTGTTCCAGCCACGTTCACCGGTAGAATAATCTCCCCTTTAGTTGTTTCACTGGCCATATTGAAGCCGTTTAAAACCCGAGCTGCGGGTACGATTTGATTATGTAGGCCAAGATGCTCAACGACCCTCGATCGGATGATATTCGCCGAACTACCTGGATCCACTAAAACAGGCTTAACTTGAACTTTACTCAATAAGATAGAAATAACCACAACGTTGTAGTGGGGCTGAAAAATGCCTTCTGCTTCTTCGTTATTGAATGACAGTGCCTTCGGGCACATAATCTCGGGTTCATTTTTCCCTAGTGGTTGATACCTTAGTGTGTTTGAACATAGGTCTCTGTGGAATGTCGACCCCACCGACGATCATATGAATGACATGTTTGGGTTCCTCCTGTTCAATTTTCTTGTTGGCATCTCTTTCTATGAAATGATTCTTGTCTCAATCACTGAGGAACTCTCAAAGGTGGCCCTTGTTGAATAGACGGGATACCTCCTCCCTTAATTGTCTACAATCCTCGGTCTTGTGACCATGCGTGCCATGATACTTGCACATCAAATTTGGGTTTCTTTGGGAAGGATCGGTCTGTATGGGTCTGGGCCACCTAGTATCTTTGATCCTTCTGATTGCCGATACAATGCCTGATGCATCGATGCTAAAGTTATATTCCAATAATCGAGGTGCCTCTGTGGGATCGACATACTTTTCAAAACCACTTTTGTTCATAAGTCCCCGAGAACTCTGTCCTCGATTACTTCTTCGATTGTTCTGGACGGAATTGCGTCCTGAACTATTGTTCCTTCGATCTGCGGTATATGGTTGATATTGGTCTATGTTCAACCTTTTCTCCATGTTTATATCCCTCTGGTTCTTAACTACCGATCTGCTTGGATGTACTGAACCAGAGGGGGATCTTAGTTGGTCGTCTTCGACCTTGATCTTCGATTGATATAGATTGTGCACTTCGGCCCAGGTCACGACCGAATATTCGATCAGAATTTGTTTCAACTGACATGATGCTATCGAACTCCGCTCGTTCAACCGGGTGAAAGCTTGAATGACCCAATCTTCTGTGACTGGTGGCAATTCCATGCGTTCTATTTGAAATCGGTACACGAACTCCCTCAGCATTTCATTATCCTTTTGCCTTACCTTGAAAAGGACTGATTTCCTTGTTGCGACCTTTATGGCCCCTGCATGTGCCTTTACGAAAGAATCTTCTAACATGGCGAATGAGTCGATGGAATTTGGTGGCGGGTTGTGATACCAAATCATTGCTCCCTTCGAAAGGGTCTCTCAAAATTTTTTCAACAGACGGATTCGATTT